CGATGCTTCAGCTGCCGAAGCATGTAAAGCTTTCTCTCGCTGCTGGATCCCGAAAAGCTGTGCATTGCATATAGCTCACTTGTGGCCGGAGTCTTACAAACGACTGCAACATGCCCTCCCAGTTCAAGACCATATGCGTTTCGGTAGTGCTTCCATGGCGAGCCTTCCTTAACAGAAACTAGCTGGTCTGTATAGGCGTCTGCAGGAGTGACTGGCAGATTGATACGAAGTGCCTGTTGCTTGTCCCTCCGTGTGTGTACTGTATTCGGCAGTTCAAGAACGGCCGCATTGGAAACCCTTGAAGATGCTGATCCAAAGATCCCTGACCATTGATTACTACCAGGAAATACAGTCTCCCGCTTTTCTTTTCCGGTAGCCATGTTTAACTAAGAGACATAAGAGAGAATGCATTCATCGTTGGGACGTTGTGGCTCGAGTATTTGACCTTTGTCATCTGTGCGGGCGTATGTGACCAAGAACTGGTCTCTCTGTTTCCTCTTTTTGGTCTTCTTTTTTCCCCTTTTTTCTTCTTGTGATATCTCGAAGTTTCATTTATTTTGCACGTGCGCGTGGGATACCTGCTGAATAATACATGAGGACCAAACCCGGTCCCTTCTCTCCTTTCCCAATACTTTTTGGATCAACTATATTTCAGATAACTAGGAGGTTTCTCGACGAAGGAACCGTTAAAAGACCCTCTGGACTAATTAAGAACTATTCTTTTGAAAAGAAGTGACGGGCGTGCTCCAAATATTATGGAACAGAATCAAGTCGAGGCTCTCGAAAAGGAGTTGCACCAGGATAGAGGCAGCTCTTTTAGGGGAACTGCCCGGATCCGATTTCCACACCTCCATTTTGGTGACCTCTGCCCTCGACAGCCCAACGCTAGAATCACTACATATTTGACCAATAAATTCTCTAGCGAAGGATGCCTCCGACTTGAGCCCAGAAATCACATACCGGCCGTGATTAGCCAAGCGACATTAGACGCAGCTATTAAAAGTTCGCCCAATGTGTCCCAGGAATTGCTCTTGGAAAACCGCAGGAAGGTACCTCCTGAACTAAGGTTTCCTGAAAATACTCGAATAGAGTGCCTCCAGGGATTGCATCGCGTTGCGGCGGCAAAAAAACTACTTCCACGAAGAGACTGGTGGTGGTGTATAGACTTGTATCTCGAAGGTATCGTTCTGTGACAAAGCCTAGTGATCGGTAGTAGCTTACTCGCTCAGACGCCAGTACTGACCTCAAGACGGCCTTATCTGAAGAGTACTCAAACTCGGTAAACTTTTCTGATGGCGAGATATTCCTCAAGCTACGCCAGTACCAAGAGGATACCGATAAGCAGATCGGGACTATATTTGCAGAAAAGCGAATGTGGGGACGACTCAGTAATTGTAAGCGCAGTGATCTCAAACAGATTCTCAAGCATAAGATGATTATGTCTGGGCTTGATGCACTACGAATCTTGCCAGCCCTCTTTAATGGGTTCCGAATAGAACATCAGTTCATCGCCATGAAATGTCATGAGGTAAGCACCTATCGTCTAGCCGCTAAATGCCTTTTAACTTTGGCTTAGGAAATACTGCACTATCTCCGCCAGATTTTAAAGGTGTGGACGCAGATCTTCAAAGGCAGGAAGCAGCTAATGCGTCTGTTAGATCCGAACACAGTCGAACTTCTGCAGCTACGGGCTCCAGGCTTGTCAACCCACGACTTTTCTGTAGTATCGAAATATTTCGAGGAAGGAAAGCTCTTTCCAGAAATACGAGGCCAAGAAGATCGCAAGATGATCCTACAGAACTTGCGATCTCTTCTATATCTGATTCCTTCCCTACATAGTCTCTTCGAAGACGTCAAGTACCTCAAAGCGCCAGCCAAGATAATAAGGCAGCTCTGCCCTCCATCTAAATTTTCCACACGGGAATCAATGTGGCGCATTTTCACGGGTCGTGGCCTGCCAGAAAACCAGTGGCCCATCCAAAGGTGGGAAGGTGAAACTGCTTGTACTTGGGCACAAGGCACATCGGACGACCAGTTTGAGTTCGGCTACCGAGATGTGTGGCTATATGCATGGCGTCATTGGACCGATCTAGTCCCAGAATGTCCAAAGAAAGAAGCCCACGAGGATAATCCAATACCGCAAAGGCCTGACCCGCGAAGGTGGTATGAAATAGCTAGCTTGGCAGCGAAGCGTGGTTTTGAGTCCGACGAGATTGACCATCTCCTCTCTTCAGATCCTGATCGCAGCCTTGCCCGAGAGGCTCTTCTCAAAGCCCGGAGCCCTGAATATTTCACATATGATGAGTCCGCTTTCGAAGGCTATGTAACGGAAGTTAGTCGCTTGTTTAAACTCGCTATGGAGAGACCTCCAGAAGACTCAAAGCCAGACATGCTAGTACCCGGATACGGAGAAAGTCTAGAGCGCAGGTGTGGTCGCGTTTTCAGTAACGCGTATATGGCCGACCGGAAGCACCTGTTTCTGCATCACCTCTATGAACCTGTAGTAGGCCGTGGAAGTGGCGTGTCTAGCTTTGCCGTAAGGGCGTCGGTATTTTTTGCTTTCTTCGACAGGCGAACTCCCACTACTAACACATCTGTCACACCTGTCGATGATCTCGCGCAGCAGGCGACTGGCCAGATGACTCAAATTGAGCAAGAACGACTTGAAGTGATCTTACCGCAGAGAGGAACGCAAATGCAGGGCGCTCAGCATACACAGGCGCCTGCACCAGTTCAACCTGTGTCTGGGACAACTCCGGAATCCGGAGAGGCTAATACCATGTTGAACGTAACAACAGCGGCAACGGCGTATGAACTTCCAGGAGAGCTGCCAACAACATCGGCCGATGGTGCCAATGAGGTCCAGATGATAGTAAGTTCTAAGAAGCCTCTTCGCCAGTGGACTACTAATGCGTTGAAGGACTATGTCCCAGAGGATATTACGCGATGTTTCATAAAGATTTGGAAGGATGGACGCCTTAATGACTACCGAGTACCGCTTAGGATGGAAGAATCCCAGGTCAAAAAATACATGGAAGCTTTCAGCTTAAAAGGCTATACTCTGATAAACATACGGGGACGTGTTATGAGACCTAGCCAAGTATATTCCGTCGTCGTAGAAGACAAGTCGCAAACAGTTATCCTTACTACGGAGAAAGTGGTCAGTCGACAGTTGATCAGTGCAATAAAAAGTTGGCTTAATGTAGAAAAAACTAGGAAAAGGAAAAGACGAGACACATGAATTACTGCCACCAAGTACGCTTAGAGAGTCTACACTAATCTATATAACTGAGGTAAAATAGAACAGATAAACTAACTAGTATCACTTTGATAGTGTTCTAGCATTAGTGAAGGTATAGAAACACCTTTGTGAGATGGCTCGGACAGCCGTATGAGGCCGGTTTCATCAAATCAAAAACATTCTCCGTAGACTATTGAATAGGGCGGCATCTGGCACCACTAAGCAACACTCTATATATAACATAGTATATATCACCTATAATCAACAAAATTCCAGCAAAGTCAAGAAGACGATGACTTGTATGTTCTCTGTGTACTACTTTTGGAAGGGCTATCAAAGAGATCGACGGTATCGGACTGTCGAAATGACAACAATCTCATGCACTTATACGAAACGCACTGCCAGCGGCAGGAGCATGGGAAATAGGCCTGCATACACAACCCGAGTCCTAGACAACCCTGCGCCTGCAGTGACGGGTATCATTGCTGTCGGCGTAGGTGGTATCAAAGCCCCCGTGAGAAGTCTCGACGAATTATAACCAAAGGTGGTATTGCCAAATGGGTTGACGGGCCTGGTGCCCTGGGATGCGTGGGTTCGAGAGGATTCCCCAATTGGCCATGATATATTTGTCACATGGTCGGATGTCCCGACTGTTGAGATGGGCAAGTCAGGCGAAGAATATTCGCTTAATTCGACGGTGGAGGTCGGAAATCCGGTACTCGTGAGACCGACAGTGGCCGATCCCGAAAGATTGCCGATAAATATTTGAATCACAACCTCAGTTTGAAAGACCACAGCACCGGTTTGCTGCTGAAAACTGTCAGTTGTTGACGAGGTTGTGAAGGGATCAGTTGTTGACGAGGTTGTGAAGGGAGTGGATGATGTCTCCAGTTCAACGCTGGAGGGAAGACTGAACGAAGATGGCCGAGCATCAGTGCAGCTTGTATTGGCATCAGCATATCCCAAGCCTAAGGTAATCAAAATAGGAATAATCAAGACGAAGTTCATTTTGATCATTGTAAAGCTTGCGGGGAACAGCTCGGCCCTTCACAAGGGGCCTGGATTGCGGCTTATATGGTCGTTGAATAAAGCTCCCGAAACTAGGACTATTGTCGAGAGTTGGCCTTAAAGTGGGCAAGTGCCGGAGCAGCCATAAATATGTAGCAACGGGGATTAGGCATCTGGGTAACAAGTCGCAAGGAGACAAGGACCTGGCACACACAATGGATCCAATTTATGACTCCGACAGTGCAACATCGCGCCGCGAGCCCTCATCTCACACAGAATACTTCACCATCGACTCTTTAATACAGAGAGTGGAGGAGATGCAGAGAAGAGGGCAGCTAGACACAATCGAAAGACTTACTGTGGAAAACTCACTGCTTCAACATCTCATTCATCAGTATCAAAGGCAGTGGTCTGCGACAATCGACCTTCTAGAAAAGACCCATCAAGCTCTGCTGTCATTGCAGAAAGCAATGGAACACTGTGTTGGAGATGGCATAGCAGCCGAGAGAGACTGGCTCGCATTCTGGGGAATTACGCGGGAATGCACCGAGCGCTCACGACGGTGCCCTGGCGGGTGGATGTAGCAATTTATGAGGATCTCCACTTGTTTGTGGTGGTATTTAGAAGTGCTCAGTGGTCCCTATGCAGAGTAACGTAGATAATACATTGCCTAGACAACTCATGAAATCGATAAGGGACAGTACAGTTTCTACATTCAAGCGTCACTATCTGAGACTAGAGTGGCCTATTATCACTCGAGAGAGGGAGACTCCGCCTGGCCTTCATCCACGGCCCTTGTCTGTCTCCGCTTCCTAGACTTCTTTTCAGTCTCTCCTTCTTCCTTCTTTCCATCTTCCTTCTGTGGAGCTTCCTGTTCGTCCTCTCCCTCCCTTCGACGCTTTCCAGGGCTAGCCACTTGGGAGGTCGGAGACTGGCCTTCAATCGGCACCATCTCCTCGATGTGAGCAAGCAGCTCATCAATCTTGTGATCTTGGCTGACAATTCGGTCCGCCGCATTGCGGAGGGCCTCTTCGTGAACCTCTTTCATATGCTGCTTCTCCTTATCGAGCCTTTCAACTCGGGATGTAAGACTAGCGACAGTCGCATCTCTCTCTTGAAGACGGCTGCGCATGGTGTCAGAATCTGTCTTGTAGTAGTCGGCCTCTAGTCTGAGCCTCTCGTTCATCTTTCCTAGAGACTTGTTCGTGCCAACGGCTTCTTTGAGCTTTTGATGTTCTTGCTGGTAGGCTTGCTCGTACGCCTTGAGAGTGCTGCTATTGTTGCATTGGTGTCGGGCCAGGGCGTTGTAGACGTCGCGCGTGATGTACGATATGTCACACAGACCTTTTCGGACATCGAAGAGCTGGTCCTCGCCAGGCCCAGTCGGGACAGGAGTGCCACGCCGATTGCCGTGGGAGGAATTCGGCAGCTCCTGGCGAAGAGGGACCTAACAGCTTTAGAAGAAGTTTGTCTTGCGACGCTTGTAGACCTCACCTGAGTTGAGTTAGGATGCGAGACCATATTGGTGCGATGAGGCAATTAAGACTGTGATGACTGAATTGGGTACAATTGAATTTGAACTATAACCGGCTGGTCTCTGAAAGCAAGTGGCAGACAGGACTAATATACTCAATTCAGACCCGAGAAACACAGGCCGTCCTATCAACACAAATTCGTCAGTCTTCCATTTTTAGTATTTTTGAAGACCATGACAGAAGACAGAAAAGACGGATGACAGCAATTCCGGCACCTTATCGAGGATTGATGCTAGAGGGTCCCTGCCACGCAAATAGAGAGACTGCTACCCTGCTGCAGCAATGCCCCTAACTTCATGACCAACATCACCCACCCCCTCCCCTATCACACGGATAGAGCAGGGTAGTGCGCTACCGTGACCAGCCTAGCCCTGTATGCATCGTCGCTTAGCCACTCTCGTCGGCGCTTAGTCCCGTCCCAGTCATAGGACAACTTGCCGCGTCATTGATCGTTGAAGCTTCCAGGGTCTGCGTTATGAAGCGGAGAGCCAGGTCGCTCTCTATACTTCTCATCCAATGAGGGTTTTCGATGCTCTGAATTCGCGCTTCCCGAAATGTTTCCGTTCTCCTGCAGCCGGTCGCATCTGCATCTCGCACCATCTCCCCAAGCCTCCTCTCTAAGGCCAAATGTGCCACACACCTGCGCAGGCAGTGCCCCTGTTCCTGCAGCTTCTTGCTAATGCAGAATTGGAGATAGAGAATCTGCGCGTCAGACATGCCAGCTATTCTTGCACTTAGATGCTGGATGCATCACAGCAGAGACGTCGTTGGCATTTTAACAAGCATCTCTTCTGCCGTGGCTGTGTGTGGACCCAGAATTGTTACTAACTTGAGGGTCTCCAAGATGGACACCTTAGGGACATTTTTGCGTCTCGCGACCCCTGTGTTTAGGACCTAAAATGGCTCCCGTCTAGATCGCAGAGCCCCATTACAACGTCAACATCTTCCCTGAATCATTGGTACCAGAAAGTGGTACACCTATATAGGGGGTTGACAGACGCAGGTTGAGTGCACATGGTCAAACAAGAGCCAAGTAATCATGAATTTCAACTGGGACGTTCCTGCGCAGGAAGAAATCATCGTCGCACTCGAGAACCCGAACTATTCCGATATCTCGATATACGACTCCTATGTTCAGTCTCTACCTACCGAACAATATTCTGAATTCTTGGATCCATCACTTCTATCCAATCCAGAATGGACGAATGCGGCGTTTGATTATCCCACGCCTGGACAGGAGCCGCGCACAGATCTTCCGTCTAAACGGGAGGAGCCGACAGCATCAACTGCTGAAGACCCATGTCTATCAAGCGAGCGTCCAGACGAGGCAGATTGGAGGACTGCTATCCGCGCTCTCGAGAAAAGATTCGAAAAACGCCAAGAGAGCATAGAGAAGAGGCTCGACGAAGTCGAGGACGTGGTTAGGGGCCTCCAAACTGGGTACGTACTCTCTTCGTGGTGGGCGTCTGACCCCGCTGACTGGTTGGCATTAGGATGGATGAGGACAAGGCGAGGTTCTGCAAGGAGATCGACGATCATATTGGACGGTTACGGGGCTGGGCTTCCCAGGTGCAGGGCATATTTGGTAGAGTCACAGATTATCAAAGACCGGACTAGTTACTAGCAATGCAAAAGTGTTCATGTTTGTCCTCTTTGTAGAGTAAGGGCGTGACAAGGTTCCTCGAAAACATAGTGTTGAATGCGCAGCGTAAGGAGCGCCCACGTGGAGAGAAGATAACGACCGTTTGGATGGTCCTACCGACTCCTACGGAATGCATGTGCCTAACACAATTGCTCCGACGATCCTCATGCATAGCTGTACTGCCTGATCGTGAAAGCGGGACCCGAGTCAAGGCCCGGGCCCTAAAGATGGTCCGGGGCAGACCTTGCATAAGCCGCCCAGACTCTATAAGGATCCGCATCTCTTCCTAGTTTCAGAAATACTGCGGGCACAACGAGGAGTCTTTCATCTCTTCTCAGACACCTTGGACCACGACGATGCTTAGGAACAAGCGGCCGCAAATCCGGCACATTCACAATCCTAATCTCCCCCCAGAGCCTACCGCCGTCGACGGCGAGATTGCTCGCAACAATGGGTCATCTGTAGCCCTTGAAGCCACGCAAGAGAGGCTGCAGGAGGCCAAGAACATGCCAACCCCAAGCCTGTCGAAGATCATTGAGCAGCGGACTTGGGAGAACGGACAACTGAGACAGGAATTAGCCTATCACCAAAGAAAGAATGCTGCAAGCGTGTACCTCCTAGAAGAAGTCAGACATGTAGTGGACTTGCTCCAGCAGGCGATGGTCAGTTTTCAGAAACTCAACAGGGAGTGCGGAGAGGGTGAAGTGGGGGCAGATGACGTTTTCTCGGAGGGGCCTCATAACCATCAGACCACCACGTCGTAGCCCTAATTGAACTAGGAATATCTCCGTGCAGTGGAATACTCGTTTGGTACAAGATAAAATGCCGGCCTCTAGCGCCGGGCCAACTTCCAGTGATGCTTTGTCCACTCGCACCAACATCTCTCCCCGTGGGCATGTTTCCCCGCTTGTGCATACACCACGGACCCAATTTTTGTTGGTTTTGTGGTTTCTATTCCAGTCCACAGTTCTTTCGTATCTGTAGACATCTAGGGACACACGACATGGGTCGACATCTCGGATCGGTTTCTTGCCGCTTGCGTTTCTGCCACCCTGCATTGCGGTCATGTTCCCCTTGTGGGCACCATGCGCACCACCTCGACCAGGACCTATTCTGGCACCCTCCATCTCGGCGACGCAAATAGTCCGATATCCTGGTCAGGTAGTCTCGATAATAGATTCTAATTTCAGTACCGATGCAGCACTGCCAGGTCTCCGTTGGTCCTTCGTGACCCCTCCGACGTAGGGTGTCGAAATCAGGCCCTCTCATGGCTTCCTCAGAAGTCCTGGCACTCCGATCTTTCGACATTAACAATGCAAGCAACTTGCCTATGCAGTCAGAAGTGTCTAGTTCTTCCATTCTCTGCTCAGGAATAGTACGAACCTCTTCTAACTCTGTGGCTTGCACATCGCAGCTGCTTAATAACTCGCTCACGACAAGCTTCTCGGCGTAGAGACCAGACGTGGCTTCTTCGCAGCAAGTGTTGAGACATGGCTCAATTTCCATTCGGGGTAAGAGCATTCTCAAATGAGAACCTACTTTGCTAACAGCCTCACAGTCTACGGACTGCGATGTTGGTGAACTCCATCGCATGTACACGCAAACGGCCCAGACTTTCGATTCCGTTTTGTTCATTTCCTTGCAGACGATAGCGGTTGCGAGAAAGCTGCTATCTCACAATGGATCTGAAACTCTTGCTATCGTTGCTGTCTACCAGAGAGAGCATCAAATGAATGAGCGGCTACAACAAACACTAAGGGAGGTGCTATCCGGCGAAATGCAGGCCCTGGGTCAGATCGACGAGCTCCAGGATGAGGTTGTTCGTCTTGAAGAGAGGCTATTGTACCAGCAGTTCGATCATGAGCAGGCAATGGAGAGGGCGATACAGAAATGTCATGAGCTCGAGGAGAAGGTCGAGGAACTTGAAGGGGCGAATAAGAGTCAAGCAATAGGGCACGATATGAAGTAGAGATTCGGCTTTGCATTTGATTGTTCACATTGTGCAGCTTACCACACAGACAGTCTTCTACACGTGACAAGTTCGGGCCCGACACGATTGGCGCGTTTGATGAAATTAAGCCGTGTGCAACCCTCTCATGTCTAGGGCCAAGCAAGCGGCTGAGAATCGGAAGTAATACAAGCCAATGGGGCGACGAGGCACCAGCTACGCTAACTTCACGGGATGACTGGTCTGTCCCTGACTCACATCAAGAAGCGAGTTGTCTAGAAAAACCGCAAGTGAATCACTGTACGCCAAGTCTACGTTATTTAAATGTAAGTTATCATGCATTCAGCCTATGAGATCATTCGATTTAGTGACGTAGGTAGTCTAACTCCACGGAATTGCTTTATAGCAACCTTACTAAGTCTCCCGCAATTGTACTGCTCTGCATCACGTTAACCCTGACCTGTCCTGCCATGACCACACTAGAGGTTAGGCTGATGGATGAGGCTTTATCGACTTGACTGCCCTGCGAAAGTGTTTACCAACGTCCCCTTTGCCCCTTCTGTTCGCCCGGGGTTTCGCTCCCAGTCCCGTAGCTCGGGTGCCTTCACTTATAGGCTCATGACATTCTAGTCGCTGTTGGACCTGATTGGCCGCTGTCTTGGACGCCTCTAGTTCCATGATGAGCAACGCATTCTCGGCTAGTAGTTCGTCTTGTCTGCCTTGTAGAACGTCGTTCGCTTTCTTGATCTCGTACACCTGTGCATAACACTGGTGCAAGTACTGACTTGCCCAATTCCGGTAGTAACCGAACAGGGACTCCGTATAGTTGTAAATGTCATTTCTGTATTGCTCGATGACAGAATACGCTTCTCGGAGTCCGTCTTGAACTTCTTTGTCAGTGAGTGGCGGCGGCACCACTTGCATATTGGACTCCACCAATTCCTAATATTGTTACTAATGAAGAGATACTATAATCACGAGATCCTACCTTGAATGTATCTTGAGGACTTGCCATAGCAACAGATGCTCTCTCATAACTCTTATGAATGTAGACGTCATGAGCGGATGAGACTTATAAAGCTCATGATCGGGCCTGAGGCAACTCCCAATTTGGTCCCTAACCTCACTTATGACAACTTTGGGGCACATACTAGTCTACAATATTGAACCGGACCTCAAATAGGCCCAAGTTGACCGTGCCCTGAATAGGGTATCTGCATGCCCAAAACAGGAACGGTACCTCTCACGGACTCTCGTCGTCTGAATCGCCAGAATAACTACCTTTTGGCAAAGATCTTGAGTTTGTGGAGCGGAACCAGGCTTCATTGTCGACTGTCGAATGCTTATATCGTGCGAGTCCAGAAGGGGCGCGTGCAGACGGTCTTGGTAGGGTAAT